CCAGGGCACATTTTTTTTTTCACTGACTCTGATTTTAGGGGCCAAGAGTATTATTTTGGTACGAGTTTCAGAGTCAGACCATATTTCCTGGGTCTTGGGTTTGGGGATAAAGTGTTCATTTCTCTGGCTCAGGTCCCAAACACAGGCTGTGTTTCTTTCCCTGGTCTTAGGCCCTAGGGCCAGGATTCTACTGTCCTGTTCTGTGATTGGTTGATTTCACAAGTCAGTTGGACAGGGCAGAGATGGCTCTGATCTGAGCTAAACTGTGTTTCTCTCATTGGCTTTATCTGAGCCATCTTTCCCTAATTCTGGGCTCCAGGGTCAGGGTGGGTTTCTCTAGCCAGCCCCTTCTCCCTACACTGCCTTGAATTTTCCCTGTAGCCCAGGAAGGCCTTTATTACTTTCCTGCCTCATCTTCCTGAGTCGCTGGGAATACAAGCCTGTACTACCAGGCCTGGCCGCAAGGGAAATTAGAAACCAGCTTTAAGCTCCTGGAAAAAGGCTCAAACCACCCACCTCTCCAACTTCTCAGTACCCACTGTAGGGTTAGCGCTCAGCTGGTAGGAGCTGCTCTTAAAGGGATGACCAGGGTATGGTGGCCACTTAACATTCTCAGGACCTTGCTATCCCCACTGGAAAATGGTACCCATAGCCAAGTCCAGGCTGTTCCATGCAAAAGACAAGGGAGAGAAGTCATTTAGCAAGAAATGTTTCAACCCATCCTAAGCCTGAGTGACTTTGTATCCACAGGGTACAAGGAGCTAATACAGAGCTGAAGGAGCTGGTCTGCAAGCCACATGGTGGCCACTATCCCTCCCAGTGTGGGCTGGCCCAGGTGATCTGGACCCCAATAAAACAAGCTGTCAACTCTGTGTGCCTTCTGTGTGTTGGAGTCTCTCTGTCACGTTGTTGTAGTACGGGGACTGGAGAAGGAAGTTCTGGGCATGAGTAATCCAGCCTTCCCAGGAGAGAGAGACACAATGGGCCAACTTCCTGGAGTACAAGATCCTGGCTGTGCACCGCTCCAAACACAACAGCCCCTAATTCTGTGCTAGTGTAGAGGGGGGGAGTATTTTCTTTTACTAAAACAAACAGGAAAAAAGGAGGCCTAGAATCTCTGGCACTTGTTTCTAGAAGAGGTTGGTTGGGGGTGACAAAAACCCAAGGAGAAATAAATAGTGATGTCCTGGATTGTTCAGGTGCCTGAGGTTGTCGCCACCCTTGTCACACCCAAGTCCTTTCTAGTGGTTCCCTCCACCTGTTAGCTTGTCTCATCCACGTCCCAAATTCTTGTGCGAAGACACATCAGGGGTTTGGATTGTGTCCTGAGCATACATCATCCTGTGGCTCACTTGTCCTACCTCCAATTTTCTGTCTTGAAATCACCTGTTTCTGTGACAGTTCTGTGATACCCCCCAGGACAGGCTTCCCCAGGGACTTGCTGCAGCTTTAAAGGGACAATGATGTACCCTAACAACACAATTATCCCTCTGCTGGAATGGGGTGAGGCCTGCCTGTAACTTAGTCCCAGAAATCCACACCACTCATCTCAAAAGGGACCAAGATTAATTCCCTGGAAGCTGGCCCTTACCGTGAAGAGTCACACAGCATCTCCAGTCTTGCTGTGGGATTTTGGTGGTTACTAACCAGATGCAGCTGCTTAATAAACACCTTAAATGGTCATATAACCCAGAGGCTGGCCCTTCACTGGTGAGGTCCACCGGCCATGACCTGGCCTTATCTGACCCTCAAGGCCTAGGGAATTCAGGCACATCTGTGGATGCCACTGACTTCCTGATAATGGCAGCCATGGAGAAACTTGTGCACCAACTTTACCTGCTGGCACACAGAGGTCCATGGTTCCCTTGGAGAAGCTTCCATGGGGCATGCCTGCAGGGCAGTGCTGTTGCCCTCTGGGAAGGGCCCAAGTTTAGAGATGACACCTACATGTAATTTGACAGGATTTTTTCCAGAAGACTCAAGTGACTCGGCTTCTTAGAGTGGAGTTACCCTCCACTGGTCAGGGACATGGGTGGAGCCTGAGGTGGGAGGGGCCTGGGCTTTACTTACCTGGAGACCAAGAAGGCAGCCTTTCCATGCTGGGCTCCCTTAAGGCACTCTATCCTCTACACAGGCCTCAGTTCATTTTCTGGTGCGATCTTTTCTCCCTCAACTTTGAGTCTATAGAAGAAAAGCATGAATATCCCGTCTATGGCATCAGGCCCTGAACAAGTTGTGGGAGCCAACTCTTGTGTGTTTAGAGTCCCAATGCTTTCAAGACTGGGCTAGTCTTCCCCAGGAAATGAATGGTACATAGGACAGTTGTTAGCACACATACATTGCATGGGGGACTCTGGCCAATGTAATTAGAGGTACAAGATCCTCATGGACAGCTCAGGGGCCAAGCCCACTATGATGTGTGCCCTGTGTACTGAACCAGCAGGACTGATTAACTCCATCCCTTATTCTGAAACAAACCTCTTCAAGCCATCTCACAGCAGGTCATTGTCTCCTTGGAAACTGTCTCTCATAGCCATCAAACACTGGTTGAGCCAGGTCTATGCTGTGACAACCAATGACCCCAAGAGTGGGCAAGTATGACCTCAGAGTATGACAGGCTCAAGCCATCTTGGTGCCTGACCTGTCCTTCTCACCCAGCCCTGTGCTAAGTGGATGGCATGGCCCAGCTCCACCCCTAAGAAACACATCACACACCGGAGGTTCCTAAAGTCGTTTTATTGTAAAACCATAAATACAACACTGACATGAACTTGTGAACACACTAGGCGACTGATCCTCTAGTCATTGAAAGGATGTCTTTTTGCCTTGGCATCAACCAACTGGGAGATGGTTTGGGAGTCGGGGGAGGAACTGATTCTTGGGCTGGGGCTTTTGGTGACTTAAGGAAAGCAGTGGAACCTTTTTCTTCTCCATGGGAACATTCCACTTTTGGACAAGAACAGACAGGTAAAAACAGCAACATTGAAACAGCTCAGATTTAAATTTTATTACTTTGTAAAAATCTCTCTTTTTAAAATTTTTTCTGTCCCTTTCCTTCAATTAACATCAGCAAAATTTTTAAACATCATGAAATCAACTTGGTTGTAAAATGGAGACACAGTATCCAAACCAAAAAACAAAACACCCCAAAGGACACACAGAAAACCCTAAAGAAACCCGCAAGTTTGGCCTTGGGAGTTTATGTATCACAAGAACCGGCAACTCAACCCCCATGCAATGTGGCTCCTTGAAGGACTGTTGGATCCATACCATCTATACAGGAGACCACCAATGACAACTTTGTTAATTAACACAGCAAGTGTGACACTAGGTAACTCTTTTTAAAATACAGTACATGGTATACAGGGTCCCTCAAATAACCCTGCATAAACCCCCGTGAAGACTGAGCCAAGCCGGGTAGCACCTCACAGGGTTTCCCTTCAACTAAATCCCAGCTTTGATCCTTCTCAGAGACCCTGTGAGTCACCAAGAGTATGTATGTATGGTGCCCAGAATCTCCTCAGGTGTCCCCCTTCTTGGGCAGTCTAGCCTGAGGCTAGGAAAATAGGGGACCTTGGGCTCCAAAGCTTCACAGTGGAAAACATGCCTTGTAGAATTCTTCCAACTCTTCAAAGTGCAGGAGATAAAATCTGTCAAACTGAAATGAAACTCTTCCTTCCTACAAACCTGGAGCTGAGTTCTCATCAGTATTACCAGCTGCCCTTCTCACCAGGAGACAGGTACCTTTCCCTCAGCCCAGAGCCAGCCCCACAAGGCCAAATGTGAAGCCATCAAGTGGGATGGTGACATCATATGTGCTGTGGCCCATGGCTTCCTGCACAGGCAACCCCTAGGGATGAAACGCAGACAGCTGTGCTCAGCACCCATCTTGCTTCCTGGTGAATGCCATGCAAGGGAGGCTTGGCCGGTAGACCTGGGTGTTGGGAACAGAGTCATGCTGAGAACAAGTGTTTCCATGGACAACCACTCCTCACAGACCTGAGACCTCTTGAATGTTGAATCCCAGGCCAACAAGCCGCAGGCCTTGTCTTGGGCTTAGTCCTCAAGGACAGTGTTCTGAAACTTTGAAGAGAACCGGAAGCCTTTGTGTCTTTAAACCCTCTTCACTCCTGTTCTGCTGGGGACTCGGGGGAGAGGGCCATGGGTACAGTGCTTTTGAAGTCGAGGTATCTTTCAGTTGAATAATGCTTTATGACTAGGAACAAGAGGACAGTCCAAGCCCCAGGAGGTAAAGTGTGCCTTGCCATGCCTGGCTGTTCTATGTGGGTTTTGGGAATCAAACCCAGATTCTCATTCTTACAAGGCAAACACTCTACTGACAGCCATTTCCCCAGCTCTTCAGTGTCCTTTTCTGTGAAATGGCGTTCACATTAATGTGACATTTTAGAGGGCCACTTTGGGAATTAGATGGTGAACATGTCTAACTCTCAGACCAAGACCTGGCAGCAAGGATCAGCTGAAATGATGCCAGGCTGTTCTTAGGAGCTCTGCCAGGCATTGTGTTTTCTGGACCTTTACAAAGGGGATGGAAAGTCAAACTTGTAGAGTTTCATGTACCACACTCAACACATACACCTGACACATGGCAAGCTATAGTTAGCATCGTGACTGCTAGACCTACTCCTGAACTGTCACCAGGGCAGACAGGTTCCCTCCAGCACATAAGTTTACTGGCGTGAATTAGCCTGTGCCATTCAGCAGCTCTTAATGAGATTGGTGTTACTTGAGGCTGATCCCCCTTATCAGTGGTGCTGAGAACTGCGCCGCTCACAATGCTTAATTTCCCTCCATGAAGCCAATCTGCTGGGGATGTCTCTCTGTAAGCTGTGAAAGTGTTACTCTGATTGATTGATAAATAAAACGCTGATTGGTCAGTAGCCAGGCACAAAGTATAGTATAGGCGGGATAAACAGAGAGGAGAATTCTGGGAAGTGGAAGGCTGAGTGAGGAGTTGCTGCCAGCTGCCGCCAGGAGAGGCAAGATGTAAAGTACCGGTAAGCCACGAGCCACGTAGCAACTTATAGATGAATAGAAATGGGTTAATTGAAGATATAAGAGCTATATAGCAAGAACCTTGAGCCATTAGGCCAAAGAGTTTAAATAATATAAGCGTCTGTGTGTTTATTTGAGTCTGAGTGGCTCCGGGTCCTGGACAGGACTGGAGATAACTCCAACTACAACAATCCTTTAACCGTGATTCAGCCTGGCCTGGATTCAGCCTGGCTTTGCACTGGATTGTGGGGGAGGCACTCTCTGGCTGTGCTGGACCAGCACAAAGCAGCCCTTCAGGACTCTGAATAAGCCAAATGCTGGGAATAGTGGGGCCACTTCCTGGCTCAGCCATACTTGTATCATAATGGTTTTGTCTTCCAGCTGCAGAGTATTGGGGAAGCACCCCCATACAGACTCATGCCTCGTTACAGCTTCCCCTAGTTGGTGGAAACAGGGAAAGCTCAGGGGAGGAGAGGGAGAGAGGAGAGAGGAGAGGAAGAAAGGTAAGGAGAGAGAGAGAGAGAGAGAGAGAGAGAGAGAGAGAGAGAGAGAGAGATGCACGTCTCTCTCCATTTTCCTCTCCTGAGACTTTTGTGACTTTGTCCCCAGTGCTGAGATGATTTCCCTTCTCGGACCTCACTCTCCTGTGCACTCATGTGTGGACATGTCCTCTCTTTGGGTGAGTGCTCCTCCCCTGGCTTCTGCCTCCCATCAATATACTCTGCCTTAGATCATTTCCTCATTTGCCGGCCACCTCCTCAAACCCTGTCAGGGTCCCTCTTCTGTTCCTAGAGACAAGGTTGAAAGAATGAACACTTGAATAGCCATGATGTGAGAGTGAGGGTGTAGGCTTGGGCTATAAGCTGAGTGACCTTGAACAAGTCCTCTCCCCAATGTGTTCGTCTGAACACTGAGACAACTAATGTCTGCTGTGCTGGGCTCCTGGGTGAGCAACATCATCCCCACCTTCAAATTATTCCAGAATCATCATGATTCCTGTTAACTTTGGGCCCCCTGGGAGGTCCCTCAGCTTCTACTTTGAAATAAAGAAGAAGAGGGAATGGGGGATCCTAAGTCTGCCTGTCTTCTCTCCCTACAGCCCCTGTTAATGTTTAAAAATGGTTCAAAGTCCAGATGGCCTTGGCTGGGGTCCCCTCTGCTTGCTCTGGTTAATAATCTCAGGAGTGCAAACATCTGGAGCAAGAAGAGAGACCTGGCCATCCTGTGTTCACCTCACCCCCACCCCTGCCCCACTCCTTCCACTCATGGGCATGTTGAGTACTAAGTAAACTCCCAGCTTGCCCTCACTGCAGCAGGTTGTACTATGAGCATACGGGCTTGTCCCCAAGAGTCTGAGGTCAGAGTTGGGGTACCCTGAGTTCTTTAAGTTTTTCAGCCTGCCAGGAAGGTCAGAAAGGTCATGTTGGAGGCTAGAGAGTTGGTTCAACAGTTCAGAGCAGTGGCTGCTCTTCATGAGACCCCAAGTTCAATTCCCAGCACCCACATGGCAGCTCACATCTGTCTGTAACTCCAGTTTCAGGGCATCTGACACCTCACACAGACACACATGAAGGCAAACCACCAATGAACATAAGGTGAGAATAAAATACATATATATAACTTATTATATATAATATGTTATTAAATATTATATATCAATTATGTATAAAACATCTTATATATTGCTATATAGTTATATGAATATATAACCTTACATTTTTTATAGCATTGTATGTTGTTAATATTACATATTAATATATTCATATGGAATAGATATCTATAACTCTATAAAATATATATTATAAATATATTATTATATAATAAATTATATATATGGATGTATAATGCATGTAGCCCAGGTAGTAGGAGAGAGTCACTGGGGTGGGCATGGACATTCACAGACTGCATCTACAAGTGGGTCTCTCTTGCCCTCCAGGTGGACTCAATGGTAACTGTCCTGTCCTCTCATTTACAGATAAGGGGAGAGAGAAAGCTGTCCCAAGCTACCACAGAACAAGGAGTCAAGACGCCTCACTTCTGCTTCTCTGTTCTCCATCTCAGTTCACCTCCTTGTGCCCAGCGTTAGTCAACCGTGAAAGACTGAGAAACTGGGCTGCTGAGATGGTTTAGTGGGTAAAGGCCTTGCTGCCAACCTTGACAAGCCAAGTGTGATCCCTGGAAACCACATGGTGGATGGAGAGAGCGGACTTCCACACGTTGTCCTCAGACGTCCACAGGTACCTCCACCACAGCACATGCACTGTGCATGTGTACTCCAGTCCATACTATTCCCAATCTATTAATCAATATTAATCTATAAAAAGTCAGAGAATCAGGAACACAAAAGAGGGTAACTATGACAGAAAGTTAAGCCAAGACAGTTGCTGTGTTGAACTGCATATGGAGGCCTTGTGCTTTCTGTCAACCAGAGCCCCCCAAAAAAGCAAATTCCATCCATGGACAAGCTGTCAGTTATGGTGCAAGGAAACCCTCTCATTTACAAATAGACACATGTGCTCTGGATACCAGCAAAAGGGGACTGTGTCTGCTGGGCCTCACAGGAGGAAATAGCCCACTATTTGCTCAGGCACTGACTATGGAAGGGAACCCCTGAATCTCCCAGGGCCCTTGCTCTCAGGAGACAGCTGTAACAGGGATTCCTTGCTGCATGAAGGAATCTGTCACAAGAGGAGCAGGGAGGTAGGAAGGATGGTGGCTGGGACCCCTGGAGAAGAGAGAGGCACATGGAGACGGATCATAGTATCATGGAAAGGAGTTTTTAAAAACTCCTTTTAGAATATGTAAATCTAAAGGCCAAAGATGGAGCTCAGCTGGTAGAGCTCTTGCCCAAGATGCACAAAGCCCTGGGTTTAACCCCCACCACAGCATAAACCAGGCAATGGTAGGGCGTGCCTGTGATCCAGGCACTCATGACATGGAGGCAGGAGGATCAGATATTCAAAGGCAGTTCTGACTCCAAATGGTTCAAGGCCAGGCTGAGCTATAAATCCCTGTCTCAAAGAGAAATTTTTGTTGTTGCTTTAGATGAAAGGTTACTGTGTTACCCTCCTTGGGCTGCTGTTGCAAAAGACTCCAAATCCCTAGGAACAAAACAAAATAAGTGTGTCATCCTGAACCAACTTGCCATGACTGATCTAAAAGGAAGACCCTGATCTGGGGTTCTGGACGGACATACATCTTGCAGAGGTGGTAAGTTACCCCACAAAGACAATTCAGGGATAATGCTGCTGCCCACTGGAGTAACCTCTTCAGCCCTCTGTGGTGGTATTGTGTTCCCCAAAATATTTTGCACCCTAATAAACTTATCTGGGGTCAGAGACAGAACAGCCACTAGATACAAAGGCTAGAAAATGGTGGCACTCACGCCTTTAATCCTAGCACTCCAGAGGTAGAAATCCCTCTGGATCTCTGTGAGTTCAAGGCCACATTGGAAACAGCCAGGCAAGGTGACACGCCTTTAATCCCAGAAAGCGAGCCTTTAATCCCAGGGAGTGGTGGTAGAAAGCAAAAAGGTACATAAGGCATGAGGACCAGAAACTAGCAGCATTTGGCTGGTTAAGCTTTTAGGTTTTGAGCAGCATAGTTCAGCTGAGAGCCATTTGGATATGGGGACACAGAGGCTTCCAGTCTGAGGAAACAAGATCAGCTGAGAAGTTGGCCAGGTGAGGTTAGCTGTGGATTGTTCTGTCTCTCTGATCTTCCAGTGTTCACCCCAATACTTGGCTCAGGTTTGATTTTATTAATAAGACTCTTCAAGATTCCTGCTACAGCCCTCACCCCAGGGCTAGCATCCAGATACTGATGTTAGCTCTGCTTATGGGTAAAGAAAAGAGAGGCCCAGCAACCTTTCCAAGCTCACACAGCAGGAGGACCACAGGAAGCTGCCTGGCTTTGGAATCTCTGCCCTTAACCTCCAGGTGCTCCCTCTCTCATGGTGGGGCCCTGGGTCATTCCTGTCACTCCTGGGAGACTCAGGACATATGTCTGTGAAAGGGCCATGCACAGGCTTCTGAGGTGGGTGTGGGGGGTTCAGCTGGGTCCTGATACTTCCACTGTGAGAAACCAGTGTGGCTCCATGAAGGGACATCATCCCTCCTTGTTATATTGATCATCAGGGATTGAGAAGCTGGAGATGAAAAAGAACCCTGTTGCGAAGGATGCCAGGGCCTGGTCTCGCTCTGCAGTCAGCTTTCCCGGGTCTTAGTTTTATCATGTGAGAAACAAGGCAGAGCAGGCTAGCTCACTGGCATGAGGAAGCATCAGCGGATGTCATTTTCTGACTCCCCCAGCCCCTGTTTTCCCTGGGGAGGGTTAGACCTACAACAAAGCCTCTCTAGGGTCTGAACCCTATTGTGCTTGGTCAATGTCCCTTCGGAGTCAGGAACCATGACTTCCTGTCCACAGAGTTGGACCTGGGCTGGACTGCAGGGATCGATTAAAGCTGGCCCAGGACCCTGATTGACCAGGCTGAGCAAACACCACGGTCCTCATATAGCTCCAGCCTCTTCCCCAGCTTCACTCTGCAGCTGACCCAGGCAGGGAAGTAGTCCTTTGCTTCTGCACCACGTGGTGAAACCTCAAAGGCCAAAGACCCCAGAGCCATGCAGGGTCTCGGGACTCTGTTCCTGCTGCTGGCTGCCTCTCTGGCTTCAAAGGCTGACCCAGTGGAAACACTTCCAGACATCCAGGTTCAGGAGAATTTCAGCGTGTCTGGGGTAAGATTCGCTTCTCTGGCTGAGATGGCCACAATGGTGGCATGTCTATGCCACTGGGCCTTGCTGGCCAAGGCCTGTCTGTCATGGGATGTCTGTCTGTCTTCCCATCTTATACACAACATCTCAATCCCTAGGGCTCTGTCCTGGCCTGATTGTTAGGTAGGTTATTCTGGGATTCTCTGAAGCTACAACTCCTTTATATGTCATTCAGTCTGTGGGGCCCTCTGTGAGCCTAATGTCTTCCCAGTCTGCCCTGTCCTCACAAGTTCCCAGAGGAATCCACATGTGGCAGGAGGCACAGGATGAGCATGGGCCTGTGAGCTTTGGGGACAGACCTGTGGGATCATGGGAGGAAGAGAAGCAGGTTGATGGGGATGAGGAGTATTAATCTAAGGGTACCCTGGCCTTTGGCAGGCATGGCACTCATGTGTCTGTGTGGATGTGTGTTTATGCAAATATTTGTATATGCATGTGTGTATGTGTGTGTACATGTATGTATTGTGGAGCCAGCAGCCCTATCATTGTCCTGAATCATAAAGTGATATGTCTGGGGGGACCCTGTCTCCATGGTCTATCTGAGGGACTCTCAGAACTCTCCAGGTGATTTTCTATACCTTAGGACAAGGAACAGGTGTGCTGTGGGTCTAGGGGTTGGAAGGTCAGCACCATCAGCATGGAGTCAAGGGGAAGAGGTGGTTGGCTGGTCCCACAAGGCCCTATCAGGTTTGTCTCCATGGCACGTCCACAGGCTGCCTCACAAGGTGTCGGACACTGCTGTGGAAAGTATAAAACCCAAGCCTCACACTCCTGAGCAGTGGTGGCTGGAGTTTTCAGAGTATGCAGTCTGGACTCTCTTGCCTACCGAGGTATCACAGACACTTTACATCTATGGAGTACACCTTGTGTAAGGCAGGGGGAGCATTGCACACCTCTGCCCTCACTGTGCTGTGCCTGGAATCCATTATCAGTTTAAGACACTATCCTAAAGGGTTGGCCCTTCAAAGAAGGAAGGGGAATGTGAACATGTCTTCTCAAAGGCCTGGGTGAATCCAGATCCTAGCTTGTGGTTCTTCCTAGATCTATGGAAAATGGTTCAACCTGGCGATAGGCTCCACC